AAGAGAAAAAAAAGAAAAACTCGGAATGTTTTTCCAACTGATGAAAGAGCAAATATCACACTATTTGACCAAAACAAAAAAACAGAAAAAAAAACTCGGAAAGATTAAACAATACAGACCTGTAGGTATCTCCGACGACCGAACAAATGGTGACTGAAAAAATAAAAAAGAATTTGAAGAACATAGACTTCCGGTGAATGAAAAAAGTCCGATGACCAAACAGATGGTAGAATTGATCTCTGGCGTTTTGTTTGATTCTCTGGTGACTGGCTGCGAGGGTAGACCTCTATTAACTAGTTGCACAAGTAACCTCCGGTGACTGGCTGCACTCAACCTCCAATGACTGAAAAAATGCAAAAGAGGGTTAGAGTTTGTTAAAACTAGAGGAGAAACATTTATGATATAGTAAATCTATATCAATTCAAATAATGACCATGTAGGTTAACACGTCACTGCCATCTCATGTCCCTGTTGGCAACAACAAGTTGTAGTTCCAAGAAACGACAAATTCAGCGTTGCTCTAAGCCACACCTTCTCGATTTCGAAGGCATGACTTGGAGCACCGTTTTTTATGAAAAAACAATTCCAAACAAATAAGCATTTCTTGGAGCATCGTTTTTTCCGACGTTGTGCTGACGTGGCATCATTTTCTAGAGCAGCGACAACGATGCAAACAGACGCCAAATCTTTCATTTTGTATGCATTACTGACGTGGGGTATTACTATTATTATTGGTGAAACAACCCTTAATTCGGCCATCAAGAGGAGCTATTCCAAATTTGACCCAATAACCTTTACACCCAGTTAAATGGTGGTTCTCATGGTTCGAAGGGGTTAACTGGTAAAACCATGCATTCCCCGGTCAACATTCCAATTTTCTGTGCGGTCATGTTGAACCGGTCATCCGTTTTTCCCCAAACCTGTTTTTTCTTCCCCAAAACTGTTGATTTTGGTTAGCAAACCACTAAATCGGCCGGTTAATTGTTCGAACAATTTTGACCGTTTTTCAAAATTTTTTATTTTTTTTATATTTTTTGTTAGAACGGCCGATTATTCGGATTGAACGGTCGAACCATTCAAACCGGTAACCGGACCACTGACCGGTTCGATTTTAAAAACCATGATTACAACTACTATATATTCTATGGCTGGTATTGTGAAGCAGCTAAACCAAAGAGATATTTGCGATAGACGCTGATTCCTAGGATGAGAAATTAGTGATTTTTGAGATTATTGATTTCTTAAAATCAGAGAAATTGCTTGTTTTGGTACCATTGTTGTTATGTCAGCGATCATCATGAAAAGAGTAATCATCATTTTTGGCCATTCCAGTTTTCAGTCTAATAATCAATTTATGAAAAATAAGCATTGATCCCAAACACCACCCTAAACTTTGACCCCTCCCGAAATTCAGATTGGCTGAGCTTAATGGATGTGCAACCAATAATACCTCTCCACATCATCTATAAAGTGTATTTGCCCCCACAACCGCAAGTCTGGATTTGCTTCTCACAGAACGCTTCTCAATCAATCTCATAATACATTTCAGCCACATATTAGAAACATCTTTTGTACTTGCATATTGTTATTTATGGGGAGATGTTTTCAATACATAATAGGAAAGTGCTGTGAGGCGGTGTAAACACACTATGTGAGGGGCAAATTTAGGGTGATCATGAGCCAAACCTAGGCCGGGATTTGCATTTATGATAAGGGCTATAGCTTAGGCCCGAGCCTGGCCCGGGGTTTTGGGCCTGAAACATAAGCCCTAGCCCAAATCTATACAGGCCCGGGCCCGGCCCTGGCCTGATTTTGGACCAATATCTTTCATATACATAAAATATTATGTATCTATATTATTTTATATTAAATGACATAACATGCATATAAACTTATTCTATACATTATATAATATAAAATATTACATATAATATAAATCATACATGTCATGTTATAATATTTATATATAAAATATATAATATAATGTAAAATAACTTGTATACATATGTATATATTATACAAAAAATGTATAAATTTAAATATATGTGGGCCGAACCAGGCCTAGGCCGGGATTGAAGTATTAAGCTCAAGCTCAACCCTAAAATTTACAGGCCTGATATGGTTTGACCTGAAACCAGGCCTGAACACAAAAGCCAAGCCCAAGCCCAAAATTTCCAAACCGAGCCAGGCTAAAATGATCACCCCTCGGACAAATCCCCATTTCACAAACCACTCAATCTCTCACTTGACGCACATGGTAAAATGGTGCATTATTATTGATTTTTTTTTTTTTTGGGTATAGCCAGTCTACCCAATTTGAGACTTTCAATCACTCTCAACTTCAGAATCATCTAAACAATGTTTTATTTGACGTTCAATTAATTCAATTACCTTAGGCTATGTTTGGTTTGAAGGAAAAGGTAGGGAAATTTATATAAGATTTGTAAAGTATTCTCTACCTTTCCCTAATTTTTTCCTTCAAACCAAACGTTAATGGTGTAGTAATACAAAGAATCTTTTGTATTATTTTTTATGTGTTTGCACTGTACATATTTGTATTTGTACTTTTTCCAAACTGAGTCTTAGACAAAAATATTTTAAACTGTTAATTAAATTCTCAAAACATGTCTTCCTCTCTTCTTCACAGCTGCAAACACCACCGAGAGACGATGGTGGTTTGTTTTATTTGATAGATTTTAAAATAAGAAAGGAAAAATCTGAACCTTTTAATTGTTCCAAGGCTATTGGAGTTCAAAACCAAACACTGATATTATGCAATAAATTGAAAAAAAAAATTAATCTTCAGAAATTCTATTAGAGATGCAATGTAAATTAAAATCAGATATTGTATGATTTATAGAACATGAAGTTGAATAATCAGATGAAATCATGTTTTTGAATAATCAGTACATGGTTTCAGTTTTAGTAACAGAAAATAAACACAGAATCAAGAATATGTTTTTTGTTTTGTAAAATAATCTATTTTTAAACCAGATGGTTTTGATTTATTTTTAGAACTAGTAACAAGAAAAATGATTTACATCGTAGAACTATCCCTTAGTTTTTGAAAAAAACTAAGATTCAATTAACCGGATTTTTTGGTTTTGCTACTTGATTCAGTTCAGTTTTTTTTTTTTTTTTTTTGTTTATGAGCTCCAGTAATTGTCAATGGTTTGGATTATGAATTATTTTTTTTTAAGCCATTGTCAAAATCATTTTTTTAAGCCATTGTCAGTCATTTGAATGTAAAGAGATCAAGTCTCATCAATAAAAATAAAGCATATGCTTTATGCTTGCCGAAAGGCCTTAGAGATGTCTGGTTCAAGATAATATAGTATGCTTTCTGTTGAAGTAGTACAGCTGCTTGATGGATGAGCATCGTCAAAAGCACTTCTGATATGATTTCTTTGGATCCAAAGGAGATAAGACATTGCTTTGTAAAATTGATTGTCTCTTGATTTAAATCGCCAATTTAGGATATTAATTATAAAATTGAGTAAACCCGTAGAAATGAAGATAAGACGAAAACGGTACATAGTCCAAAGGAAATCGGATTGAGGCCGGTTTGAATAGTCAGGGTACGAGATATTCCTAATGCAATTCTGTAAAGGCTTTTCGAACGGTGAAAATATTTGCTCCTCACAAATGGGCGCCTCACAGACACATCACCATGCATTGGGAACATCTCGTAAGGAGCAGATCCGGTCTCGAACGAACGGGTCTTGCACAGTTGCACTGAGTGATGCCGATCTCGTAAAGTAATCCCATATCTGGGTTATAAACGTCGCTATATATCTGCATTCATTAACCTAGAACAGATACCAACAGGTGTCCAAGTTCTACTGTAGTAAATGTGTCAGAGGAACCTTCAGAGAAGGTTCTCTCAAAAGTATTTTCTGTAAATTTCCCAACTGAAATAACTTGTATGCGTGGAAAGATTAGTGGAATCATCATATACGAAATATAGTACTTTTTCACGACCGAAGGCAACAGCTCAAGGGTGAAGCACAATTCATTCATTCCAGTCAGGTTCCACCATGCAAAAGCTGAGCTATTCTAATCCAACAGTAGTGAAAATAAGAGAAGAGTGATATACATCCTACCTGTGTATGGATGCTTCTCTCGACTTGTCCAACTTTCAATGAAATAGACTGCTGAACCAACAGTGCCATTTCAAGCCATTCGCCTATTGCCGATGGAAACATTTCCTCATCCACGAATACAACCATTTCTATTTCTACATAACCGTCGCCACCCCTTAGCTACTCTCCCGTAAATTAGTAAAACAACCTTCATCGCAAAACCTCGTCTCGTTGTTGAATTTACAGAAATTCGTGCACTTCGATAAACACTGCGTAATTGGTTTACTGCTTTGAGAGCCGAGCTCTAATGCTCCCCTGGTGTGTCCGATCTCTCTGATCTCTGGTTTACAGTCACACTAATGAAAAAAAAAATTATAAGAAAAAACTCACGTACAACTTAACAAAAAAAGTATAGAAAATTTCTGCTACTTAATTTTGCTAGTATTTCCATGGGGGAGACAAAAATCGATAGCAATAAATTCGGCATTAATATTTATAGCGTGGAGATTATCAGAAGAATTTAATTTCGAAACTGCGCACAACCTCCCATCTACAGTACCACCACCAAGAAAATAAAGGGTTAAAAACAACCCCATAAAATCTATAAATTAATTCCATTATATTCTTCAAACAATTACTCTGAGCACTTCTCTGAATTTCTTATATAATCTAAAGCCAAGTAAGAAATTAAATTCGTTTTGAGGGAGATTAGCCAGCAGCCCGCCCAGAATCTAAGACACCAGGCACGGCACAATCCTGCGCAGCCGGTTCACGATAGAGTCGAGCCTCTGACCATTATTAAGAGTTTAGAGAGATGATGGTGGGAACTGGGAAGACTCATCCAGATTCCACAGGTGCGCACGCTAAAGGCGCTCGATCTAAATTGCACCACGCCCCACACGCATCTTAGACAGCCATCTAACCGGAGTTTCCGTCGGACACCGGATCGGCGTTCAGATCCAAAACCATGTGATTGTTCTCCTCCTCCACCCCTTCCCCCCGCTTCTCTCTAACCTTCACTTCCTCAAAATCCTCCCACTCAAACTCCGGTCTCCATCTCGGCGCTTTCTCCTTCTCCCTGTGGCCCTCGACCCCGTTTTTGTTGTTCTGCTTCTTCTGGAAATACTTAACGGCGTCGTGTATTCGCCGGAGAATGGCATAGAATTCCTCCACCTCACTTTCCGTCGCCGTCTGCTTCCCTCCGTTACTGTTATCCTCCCGCGCCTTTGTTCTTCTTTCTTCAAATTCCACTTCACCGTTCTCCTGTCGTTTTCTATTGTCTGACTCCATTGTATCCTTCTCGTGTCTCCGTCTCCAGAAACTCTGTCGCAGTGAGTACTGTTGATCAGCCGGTCCTGACGGTGGTGGGGGGACTCCTCATCTTGCTTGTTCTTACATCTCCGCCTTTTGGATTGCAAAGTGGCATCTTCCTTGTATATAGACGATCATCTCTGGACGGTCTCGCTGAGAACTATGGAACGTCGCGTGGCGTGACGTATCGTGGACCCGGTGTATGACATCAGTCAAATGGCGCAATGGCAGAACAACTGGTGACGTAACCGACGTTAGAGGCAGCTGATGGCCTACTGCTGCGACATCCGCCATAATTCCCGGGAGACTCTTAAGCCTCTCACACTTTGACCGAAGACTAAAGAACACGTGGCACTGGATTTGGACTGTTGCTCAAGCCCACATGGTCTATCAAGTATGAATGGTGTGGGTGGGTGAGTCAAACCCGTTTTGGAGACAACACCATGATGGTCAAAAGGAGGAGATTGGTACTTTTGTTTATAAGGACAGAGGACCCGTATTTTGGGACTCGGTTCCTCAAAAGTTACTACGTCTTGCAGATATAGATGATCTGGACCCATCTGTCATCTGTCCACCACCAGATGGCAGATGCGAGCTGGGTGATGGACCTACTCAGAAAGTTTACCACCTGATCTGATCTGATCTTTGTACTAAAAACACTGAATGTCTGTAATTTTTAGTAAAGTCGTTTTCATAGGCCCAGTAGATCGACATGGTTCATGGTTGGTTCTGTAAATCGTGCTCCCTGATCCTCCTTAACCCGAGATTCGCTATAAACAAGGGATCCAGGCAGCATTATGGGGCCCAATCGGCGGATCCAACACTATTTTTTATCTCAAAATTGTAGAATAACTAGTGATAAGAGCGCAATCTGATTGCTTTTGGCTTCCGGTAGACGACGGACGCAGAGATATGCACAGAGAGAATCAAAGAATTCGGGGGTATTTATTCGGTGAGGTCGCTCCGATGCTTAAGTTAGTAATGCACGAGCTGAGAACAATTAGAATGCAAGAGAGCTACTAAGCAATAGATGTGCGTACCTTGGGCCCCTGGAGGGAGGCTTTTATATAATGGAGTCCTCGCGGGCTTCACGGAGTAGTTCCGAGATCATTGCCAAGATAGAATTTGTTTCCGCGTTAACTGGAGATAAAATTATCAGTTGATAAGGTTAAACACTTCCACCCGAATTGGACAGGGAGATAATGCTTTGTTGTTACGAGGCGTGATCCCGCAAAATTCGGGAACCATTGGAGTGACTTTCAGGGTTATATTGAGGGCAAATAGGTATACCCGAGCTGGTTTCTACCTCGAATTGATATTCTCGAGCTAAGGCTCGTATTCCTCGAACTAAATTATGTACTAGTGTCGTGACTTGGTACCGAGGTGCCCTTAGCTCGGGATGATTTCAGTTCGAAGAACCCTTAGTTCGGGGTAGTGGAGTATCACTTTGTAGCGAGCTGGCTTATGCCGAGTTGTCACCTATGTCGAGTCATGTCCACGTGTCCCCTTATTATGAGGACGGGCCAAATCACCATCCATCACGCAGAGCTTCTTTGACTTTGGCTAGGTAGGCGACCATGGTTGGTTCGCGGGCTTCATAATCACTGGTGACCAGGTTGACCACGAGCTGGGAATCACTGTAGATAATGAGGTGTTTATCTCGTACTTCCTTTGCTAAGGCGATCCTGACTATCAGTGCTTTGTACTCTACTTCATTGTTGGATGCAGTGAACTCGAACCGAAACGTGTACTCTAGTTTCACCCCGCTTGGCCCGTACAGAATGATTCTAGCTCCGCTACCTTGCTAATTTGACGAGCCGTCCACATGGAGGATCCAGGGCTCCTCATCCCAGGTCGGGTTCGTTCCAACCAAGAGAGGTGCCGCACTAGTTGAAGCTTCTTCTCCATGCTTGGGCTCGATCAACTCAGGGACTACAGCGCTGAAGGTACATTCCGCGACAAAGTCAGCTAAGGCTTGGGCCTTGATAACAGTTCAGGGCTCGTACTGGATGCCGTACTTGCTGAGTTCAATGGCCCACTTCGTCAATCTACCGAAAACCTCGGGTTTGAGCAAGACTTGCCTCAGAGGTTTGTTGGGGAGGACGACGATGGTATGAGCCTGGAAGTATGGCCGAAGCTTCCGAGCTGCAATGACTAGTGCGTACGCCAACTTTTCAATTTCTAGATATCTCGTTTCTACGTCCTGTAAAACTTTGCTAACATAGTAGATGGGCTATTGAACCCGATCTACTTCTTTTATCAGTACCGAGCTGACTACCTCATCACTCGTGGAGAGGTACAACTTCAAAATATCTCCCTCCTCGGGTCGGGTCGGGTCAAAACCGGGGTGCTGGCGAGGTACCTTTTGAGCTCGTTGAAAACGAGCTGGCACTCTTCGGTCCATTCGAAGTCTTTGCTTCTTTTGATTGCCTTGAAGAAAGGCAAGTAACGATATGCCGATTTAGACATGAAACGGCTCAGAGCGGCTATACAACTGTTTACCATCTGAACCTCTTTCAATTTACGGGGCGGTCTCATGTCTAGGATTGCCTTAATTTTCTCAGGGTTAGCTTCGATACCGCGTCAATTAACGATGTAACCCAGGAACTTACTCGAAGTGACACCGAATACGCATTTATTGGGATTCAATTTCATATTGTACTTGCGCAAAATTTGAAAAACACAATATAAGTCTTTTATTAAATCATTTGAAAATTGAGTTTTGACGACCATGTCGTCTACATAACACACTAATTTTTTGCCGATCAACGGCTCAAACAGTCGCTTTACAAGTATTTGAAATGTTGCCCCAACATTTTTCAGTCCGAAGGGCGTGACCTTGTAGCAGTACAAGCCAAGCTCGGTTATGAAGGCCATTTTTTCCTCATCGGCAGGGTCCATCCTAATCTGATTGTAGCTCGAATAAGCATATAGGAAACTCAGTAACTCGTGCCCTTTACAAGTCTTTGAAATGTTGCCCCAACATTTTTCAGTCTGAAGGGCATGACTTTGTAGCAGTACAAGCCAAGCTCGGTTATGAAGGCCATTTTTTCCTCATCGGCAGGGTTCATCCTAATCTGATTGTAGCTTGAATAAGCATATAGGAAGCTCAGTAACTCGTGCCCTGAGGTCGCGTCCACCAAACGGTCGATTTTGGGTAGTGGGGAACAGTCCTTCGGGCAAGATCGATTCAGGTCGGTATAGTCGACGCACATGCACCACTTACCGTTGGCCTTTTTACCTGAACGGGGTTAGCCTCCTAGCTCGGGTAATGGACCTCCCTGATGAAATCGGCTGCGAGGAGCTTCCCGACTTCCTCGTCGACTACTTTCCAACGCTTCGGGGCTAGGTTGCGTTTCTTCTATCTAATGGGCCTAACTACAGGATTAGTATTCAGTTTGTGAGTAATTATTTTGGGGTCTATGCCGGGCATCTCTGCCGCGGACCATGCAAAAACATTTAAATTTTGAAGTAAGAAGCTTACCAGCTGAAAACGTAGACGCTCCTCAATCGATGCACCAATTTGGAGAGTCCTGGTTGGATCTTCTACTAAAACGGGTTTAGAGACCGTCTCATCTATTGGTGAAGCTCGCTCCTCATGGTACTCCATAGGTCGCTCCAACTTCGAGGTCGTCCGCTCCAACTCGAGCTGGTCACCTCGTGCTACCCCTACTCCGAAATCCGTGGGGAACTTCATGGCCAAGTAATAGGTGGACACCACTGCACGTAAAGCGTGAGTGATAGGCCGACCTATTATGGTGTTGTACGGGGAGGGAGTTGCGACCACTAAGAAAGTGCGGTCGAATCTCGCTATGCTAGGCCAGGAACCGACCTCCATGGGTACTGTAACTCTTCCCAGGGGCCTGACTTCCTCTTCGTTGAATCCTACCAAGGGAGTGTTCGCGGGCTTAATTCCGCTCTCCTGGAGCTGTAGCTTGTCAAATGCATCTTTGAAGAGTATGTCCGCCAAGCTACCTGAGTCGACCAGGGCACGCTTCACCTCGAAATCATTAATTTTTATTCTTATGACGAGCGCGTCATCATGGGGGTACTGGACTCCGCGCACATTGTCTTCGGTGAAGAAATTTGGCTCTTCTAGCCTTGGCCACTTCGGAGGATTCTATTCTTCTCTTTCTATTTCACGAGCTGATGTCTTCGCCGCGGCTGAAGTGCAACCCGC